CAAAACAAAACCTAACCCTGGGATGTTACTAACACTTAAAGAAAATACTGTTTGTTTTTGTGGTCAGTTATTGATGCCCAAAGGTATACTTGGAGGTCTTGCTGATACTTTTTTAATGTTTAGTAGATGCTTATTTATTTATTAAAATTTGTTTCAATGAAGAAAACTCAGTATGTTGCCCTAGAAGTAAGTTTTTCAGATGCTGTAAAGTTGTTCCCAGACTACAATTTTCACGTAACTTTTAAAATAGCAATTATGTTTGGCTGGAACATGTGCTTTGCCAGACCCAGTGAGGGGAGTGTATTGCTGTGTTACCTTGGGAGAGAGCCTGTGCTTGGAGTGCTGTGATGCTCTGGCCAGTGCACGCAAGGTAACTAACTGCCTTTGTTTTCATTAAAGATCCTATTTAAAGAATCACTTCTCCTTGATCAGACCTGATGGGTTTCCTGGAAGACAGGAGAAAGAATTTCCTGGAATAACTACATATTTTCCCTAGAGTGAAGCAGATTTCTCAGTCTGATTTGCCACTTCACATTCCTTAGCCTGCTTTCCCCTTGTTTCTTGTTTTGTTTTGTTTTTTTTTTTTGAAAAAAAATTGATGTAGAAGAAGGTTGGAGAAAGGGTAACTGCATGTATCAAAGCTGAAACTGCTACACAGCAAGGGTATCAGCTGCTTGTGATTTATTTCAGTTGTTTTTCACATTATTGCATGCTGTCATTTGGAGGGAAAAGGCCAAACTTTGCTAACCGTTGTGATGCAAGTAGCCCATTAGTACTAATGAAGTGAATAGTGTTGTGTAGTCTTCTCTCCTGCAATTCAGTTTTCAGCTTTAAGAGTAAATTGTTCCCTTCTCTGATCAGTTAGCAATAAGTATAGTTGCATTACAGGTATGTATCATCCAAAATTAAATGGGTTAAGTTTTACCCTAAGATAATTACCTTTCTGAATTAATGTTATACTCATCCATTGCTCCTCTGGAGACCTTTTATTCTCCAGAAGGGCTCCTAAAATACAAATTTCACGTTCAACTTCTGTGAAGCTGACTGACTTGGTACGACTGAGAGGTACCACAGTCAAGTGTCTGTTAAAAGACTTCCACTTGTCAGAAGCTGGCTGCAGGTCCGAAGATCAGTGCTGACTCAGACTTCCTAGTTCTCATCCATATTCTGCCTTTCTATTCCACCTTCACATCAACGTCCATCATATCACACAAGTTGTAAGCTGATTTTATCCTTCGCTTGTATTATTTTAAGTGATCCCCTTGCCTCCTCATTTGCTGGAGGTTTCCATCCCCTCCATTTCAGTCATACCACAAAGACAATTACTGAGCAGTTCTGAGAGCCAAGACGTTAGAAACCTTCTGGAAGAGGTAGGAATGATCAACTGGGGATGGGAATCTCCTTTAGCAGATTTGACCTGACTGTACAGTTTGGAGGCTTCTGTGACACCAGTCGTCTGTGAGGCATCTTCTTACCCAAAGGAACATCCAGTAGGCTGAACAGTGTACTCTTCTTTACCTCTCTTGTATCCCCAAACCAATTGCTGTTTGTACTTACAGTACAAACTTAACAGCCCTACCAGAAGCCCTGCTCCCTTGTCTCATTTCCTGCCATCCCCCAGGCTAGAACTGCTTGTCATCCCCAAAGCATGCAGTCTTCCTGCCCATCCTTTCTACCAAATTCTAAATTTCTTTTCATCTTCTTCTTACTTTACACTTAATGTCTCTGAACTGTGTTCCTAATCCCAGTTCCTCAATTTATACATCGGCCCATTGCAGGGTCTTTTCCTCCCAATCTCATGTCCCCTATTTTCAGGTCTTCCTTGGAAAGGCAGGTCCTGTCACTGCCTGGCATAACCCTGCAGTCACTTACTGCTTTATGCATTGCTATTTGGAGCAGAGAATGTCACTTCCATGCCAAATGCAGGAAAACCTCCTCTTGAAAGAATAATCTAATCAGAGGTTTCAAGGCAATTCTTTGTTGATAACTAAGAAAAACTAATAACTGATTTTCCAGAGTCTGCATCTTTAAGGAAAAGGAACTGTAATGTACAACTTGGTTGGACTCCAGGCACAAGAGGAAATGGGTTATAGCAGTTGTGACTGTGTGGAGCAGATGTTTTGGTTGGACTGGCTATCAACCATCTGACTCATAATAAATTGTCAGTTCCAGTAAATTCCCAGTTTTCAATTACAGTAGGTAGGATACGAGAAAACAATGCCGTTTGGACGGTGTGTTTAAAGTGGTTTTGGTGATCATTTTCATAAACAAGTCATACTAACTTTGTAAAAGGATTAAGTATCTTGCAAAGGGAGCAGCTGTAAACACTGAAGCATGCATTTCAACGTAAATTTAGATTGATAGGAATTAAAAGTAACAAATGGTTGTATAGACAGTGCTGATAAAATTAGAAGTAGGATTTTAAGTTTTACCTTGGAGTCTTGTGATACCTGAAGTCTATTCCCAAATTTTTCTAAAAAAATTTTCTGTGCCTTCAAACTTCCATTTTCATCTGCTCTGTGCTGCATTTGTAATTTCACATGGCCTCTTGTTTTTGAGTTTCAAAAATACATACTTAATGAACCTTTCATCTGCACTGATAAGTAAACATAGTGTAAATTAGAATAAAATACAATGAGCTTTCTCTTTATGCTTTTCTTTATGGAAAGTTTTCTTTATTCTCTTAAGTTGTTTCTAGATCTCTGCAATAGAAAAAAGCCTACTTGTTGAAAATCTTGAGGGTTTTTAAATTATTATTATTTTGTTCCATTCTCACCACATTGCTTTACTAGGTGTAGTTTGCACTTCCACAGCGCTTTGGAGGTTTAGTCAAGGATCAGTCTACAGTGTGCAAGTTATTCCATAAACATAGGAAACCCCTTGCAGTTCGTGAGAAAGAAAACTATTTATTTTTGCTGTTGAATGATGTATCTATTTTTTTTTTCTGTTTGGTTTGAGTAGACATTTTCTGAAATAAGGAAAATATTTTCTTAAAGAAAAAAAATGTGATAGCAAGAGGGCAGAAAGACACCATGAAAATTTTTGTTGGGTCTTTTACATTGCAGTTTGCTAGAGGTTGGGTTTTTTTGTTTACTATCAAGCATGAAACTGTTGGGGGAAAACTACTAGGTGTGCATTATCACATGCTTAAGTAATGATCTCAAACACTTGTACAAGCACTCAGTTTTTAAACCTCAAAATTTCTGTGGCCTGGGATGTATTCTGTGTTTAGTGGAAGTTCATTTTAGCAATACCTGTAGTGTCTTGGGTGGAAAAAATTCTGAGTGTGGCAGTTCTAAGCTTGGATGCTAATGTTTATAGAAAATGGCCATTCTTAATTTATAAAAAGTGAGTTTCTCTCTTAAATATAAAAAGATTTTTTTAATAAAATCTTCTAACATTAAGTGTTATGAATTAAATATAGATTATGAGATGGAACATGGCTACTTAAAAATTAAAAAATATGTTGTGACTCTAGTTCAACAGCCTCTTTATTTTCCTAAAAGGGGATAATATTGCCAAAGCAATTGGATGTCAGTCTCTCATTTGAAGCCAACCAAAAAGTAAAAATAGAAGTGATTTTTGCTTTGCTGTTCTGTTTAAATCTGGCCTGTTCTGTGAGAGAAACACATGTGTAGAAATGGGAAGGGGAAGACACTGTCTGGGTGAAGTGAAGCATTAAAACAACCTTTGCCTTTGGTGTGATGGAAGGATCTCAGCCCCTGTTCTGGGGAAATGTCATTGCCAGGTAGTAGAAGGATCCATCATCTCACCTAGTCACTAACAGGTTTGTAGAGCTGACCAGGAGAGAGATTGCTGAAGAGTTAAGTTGTGACTGGGACAGACAACACTCAAAAGGTCTATTTGTTGAAAAGCTTTCCACAGTTTATCTGTAAGACATGTGGTTTTGGTTTAGATTTATAAAGGGCAGTTGTAACAGACATACTAAGGTTGAATGCAGTTCTCCCAAGCAGATTCTTGCATAAATAAAAGTAACAAAGTCTGAAGGGAATAAACAGTGTGGTGTCAGATAGAAGGGACTTTGTCATAAATCAGTGTAAATCTGCAACTACCTGAGCAATCAGGTTGAGCAGCTTCATGGTGGTGTTACTCCACTGCATCTTTTAAAACCTACAGCAATGCTGGGGTTTTTGTGTCTTTTTTAAGTGACAATTTTCATTTCTCAGGGCCAAAAATATGCATCCATTTGAAAAGTGGTAGTTAGAGAAGAATGCGAATTTCTTTACTCAAATTTACATTGGACAGTAGCTGTACAAACATAATGCAGTGCTGTGCTGGTAACAGTAGTTGCAGTAGTGCTTGTTGTGTGTTATTTTTGTAAATAGAAAAAAAAATCAAATCTCAGTTTATTGCTCTTTCTACACACATCAGATGATTGAAGCTTAACATGCAGATACCATGATCATTTATGTTGTTGGCTGGGTCTTTTTTCCCTGGCATCAATCTTCCTATTAAAGAACTCACTAGTGAGTATAGAAAATATAATGTAATATTACTGTACAGATTAATGGATGCCATAGTGGTGTTCACCTAATCTGTTTTGCAATGGCTTGGGGTTTTTTTTTTGCCTTATTTTGATTTTCTTTGATCAGTAAACACCTAGATGGTATTGTAGAAACTGGTCTTGTCTGTGATATCAGTCTATATGTGCACATCAATTTAAGCACTACTACTAAATGCCAGATTAAATATGTTTGGTTTTGTCCATGTAGTTTGTAAAATACACATACATTCTATTCTGTAAAAACAAATTACTTGAAAAGAATTGCAAACAAAAGAATGTGGTCTTGGAAGATCTGTATACATACACGAGTGAATGTATTACAGGTACTTGTCATCTCTTGAAGAATGCCCATTAAAATAAAAACTTTTTAGTCATTAGCATTACCGCTTAATCTGTTTTAATAATTCTTTTCATCTGATTGACAATTAGCAAATTAATGGGAAAAAGCCAGCTGATGCAATACTCAGCTTCAGGAATGAAAGCTCTTCCTTACTTAAAATTTTTCCTTAACATTGGAGATATACGAAATATTGAGGAAAAGGTCGGGGGTGACTTGCACTCTTTGATATATATTGTTGTTCTTTGTCTTTTTGAAGAAGCTTTTGTAATCTGTGCTGGTTCATCTGCTGTAGATGATAGTGCCAGTTGGAAGCATAACGTGGAACAGGACATTGTGGGTCACGACAGCCTGTCTGCTGTTGTTATGGGCAAGTGTGCCGTATAATCCCATCCATAAACTGATCACACCCAAATAGGACAGCATCTAGTTTTTGTCCTCACCACTCGTGGATTATTGTCCTGCAACTTCAGGTTAAAATCATGTTCTGCTTTTCATCTGTAGTGTGCTCATGACCATTTTATAACCATTTCTCAGAGCACACTTTTCTTTCAGTGGTGAGAAGTGAGCTGCACACCAAGGCAGAATTAAAGAAAACACTTGTCAGCTCTGTCTCATTTTTCATCTAAGACAATTAGGCTATTTTACGACCCATTCTTCCCTGCAGCTTATCACTAAGTTTCTTGGCATTTTGTGTTCTGCACGTAATAGCTGGTATGCAGCTAGTCTCTCTGGACGTTAACGGTTTCAGTCCTGCCAAAGCTTCAAATGGCATGAGATTGTCTTCCTGAAACCACTCAGCAGTCACTTTGGGTTTTTTTTTCTTCCCAGATAGGGCAGAGTCTTCTAACAATCTTTAAGTGGTTTGCATGTTCCTTCCTCACAGCTGCGTGTGGGACAGAGCACACCAGGGCACACTGCACCATGTTGATCCTGCTTTGAGCACATATCTGCTGGGTTATCTATTTCCTCTCCCTATTTTTCCAAAACGGATAAAAACAAATGCATCTTGGCAAGTTGCTGTGTGCATAAGCACAAACACCTTAAAGGGTTTCTTTGTGAGCAGCAAGTGGCACTGTACTACTCTCTGTCGATGAAGGTGACTGCACTGCTAACTCATTGCTTTCTAACTAGAGGTCAAGAGCTTAAATTAAGTTGTTTGTAGCAAAAGTACATTCGTTCACACTGCAAGTGATCTATGAATTGGAGAGATGTCACGTCCTAACCAGAAATATTTTGTTCTAGCTGTCCCCAAAACTAACTGATTGTGATATAAAGAAAGCCTTGACTGTGAATGCATTCTCTCTCATGGTGTTTAGCATGGATTTTTTGTTTTCTTACAATAGTTTTTATAGAGTATGCAGTCTTTGCTGAAAGTAGTGCTTGGGTTTAATGTGCAGGCAACTTGGGAACAATGACTCCTAGATACAAGTTTTTGATTGCAGAAACATTTTTCATCCAGCAGAGAAGTTAAGTACAGCAGAAATTTTGGACCGTATACTACCTTGAAAAATAACAAATAAAAAAAATGTGGTCATAGTGATATTTTAACATTTTAAAAAATTGTTTGGCATTTGCATCTGATGTTAGTGTTAAACCAGGAATTTGTAAAAATGAAATCTGCATATTTACTGAAATACATAGTTCATCTAATTGAAAAGAGCTACACTACTGTACACTTACTAACATTGTAACTTTATTTTGATACTTTAACAGCAAGTGAGCACAGCATAATATCATTTAAGTACTGATATGGTAAGAGAATAAATTTGCAACCTATTTTACAGTGGTTACACTTTAGATGCTTCCCTTAAACGTCTCCTAAAGAAATTGTTAATTGACTTATTAGTTGTTTCCTATGAGCTTATCAGTACTCAGTTTATTTACCACATTACATTTATTCTTTTTTGATGTACAGGATGTGAATGAAGATCCTGGAGAAGATGTTGCCCTTCTCTCTGTTAGTTTTGAGGATGCAGAAGCTACTCAGGTTTTTCCTAAGCTGTACCTCTCCCCACGTATTGAACAGTAAGACACTTTTTTTTCTGCAGTGTTCATTCTACTTAATCTCTGAATTTTTAATTTTTTTCCTGATATATGTGAGAAATGTTGGCTAGGTGATAACGTGCTATTGCTTTCAATGTTTAAAGTTATAGTGGTTACTGCAAGTGTGTGGTTGGTGGAGAAATGGCACCTCTTCCAGCTAGTTCTTTATCTATGGCTGGACCACATGTGGATGAAGAAAGTCATCACTGGCTATGTGTGATATTGTTGTAGCATCTTAATCTATGAAAACTGTGCTGTGTTTTCCTATAGCAGTATATTTTGAGTGCTGCCTATGGTACAGCATACTGATAGCTCTTTTGTAGGGGAATCTTTAATTTCTTTTTCGTGTGGGAAGGTAAGTTCTCTGTATAAACATAATACATATAGAAATATAAAGAAATAAATATAATAATATAGAAATATAATAAATTAATAAATATAATATATTGCTGTAGAAGCCCTTTAGGGCTTTATTAACTGTTTTTTAGGAATTTTCAGCTTTATCAAGGTACTTGTTTTCAGGAGAATATCTGAATATTTCATTTTAAGGTTGATGAACCTTACTGATCCGTTTACTAGTTGGCAAACAGATCTGCTGAGAAATTAATTTATACTCCTAAAATGGAAGCGTGAGGATTAGTCTGCTATCATTAAATATCTCTTCTTCTATTTCTGGATTTAAGAATGTCTTAATGTTCATCTTTCCCTTCAGTATCTCAGTCTTGAAATGTCTGCCTCAAAAAAGTAACTACATTAGACAGGTATACAACAGTTAAACTGGTCTAGCATTGTTTCATCAATGCTTTGTTTTTCTGGTTAATACTGCAGTGACTTTCCTCTGAACTGGTGATGACATTTCTGGGTAGAGAAGAAAAGATGGGAAATACTGACTGTTACAGTTTTAAAATAACTCAGTGATAAAGTTTGTGTGAGTGAAGGAACATGGTATCTTGACATTTTGCTCAGTAAAGCATTGGTCTGGATAAACTACTGGATGCAATTTTAAAAAACAAAACAAAACAAAACAAATGCCAAAGAGCCAACCACCCAAGAGTTGGTTTAGATACGGGCATAAAGCTTCCCAGATATTTTATCTAAGAAAATGTAGGTTACACATGCATGTGCAAAGAGACACACACAATATATTTTGCAACTTTTACATTTTTGTAATTTGTATTAATTTACTACTTTTTGTCAACATCAGTTGAGGGAATAACTGTAGTCAAACATTTAATTATCCTTCCACGTTCCAAAAGATTCTTCTGCTCAGCTGCTGTTAAAAGCAAATGGGCTGTCACTAGTTTCCATTTTATTTTCAGCTCTAGTCACATGTTGATTCTTAAGTGTATTTCAGGTCACACAGGTACATCTAACTGACCCAGGTACTAGTGAGTACATTGCTTATTTTCCCATTTTCAATATCTTTAGAAAGATGTTAACCTTTTGATACCAAGCAGAACAGCAATACAAAGGAATGCTTTTGTCTTCCTGAAAGTATCACATTTTCTGTCAGTGCCCTAAAGAATACCTGATTTTAGTTGTGTGTAGAACAATATAGCAGAAAGATACTTCAGTGGTTTTAGTAGATATCTGACAAATCTGACGTGTTTATGGCTTTCTCATTTATAGCTTATGTGGTCATGGTAAAATCATGCCAGTAAATCCTGGAGTTCCTTGCCACACCTTGTCACAGTATCTGTGTATCAAAGTTGAGATACTTCTCTCAGTCTATCCTCATGTATTTGCAAGATATTCATCACAGTTATCTAGATTCTGGTAACTCATAATACTAGAGGTGCTTGTGAGCTGTTGCACCTTCCTTTATTCTACTGGCTACTTTCTATGTGCCATGGAAAAATGTATGAGTATGTTTCCAATGATTGCTCAGTTGCACTTAAATAACAAAGATACAGTTGTGTCTTGTTCTTTCCCAAAACCAATCTCTGCTCTGTTTAGCAAGGGCTGACAGTCCAGATATTTGACTTTCCAGTGTTTGGGAACTGAAACAACAATGCGTACTTCTTTATACTTTTTGCCAAAAGTACAAAAAGCCTCAAGAAGCCCTGAGGATTAGTTTAATGACTGGAGGCCATGGCATGTTACATTTGAATTGTGTTCTGCTTATAAAAGTTCTTTCCTGCTGCTAACAGTAATTGCATCTACAAAAACCATGTAAGCAAATTACCAGTGTATTTTTTTTCTGCAGGAGAATTTGAGGTGGAGTAAGTAGTAGTTGACAGTTCCCAGCATAACATTCCTAAGTACTCAAAACAGGAAAAATATAAAATTTCCACAATTATTTTGCTAATACTGAGCTCTGTTCACCTTGGAAAGAATGAACAAACAGGAATAGCATTTTCGTGATGTATGAGAAAACATTTTCAGATAAAAAATTTTCAGCTTTGTAAAGAAATAAGAGCAAAGGGCCTGTTTGTGTAACGTGAGTTATCTCCTGCTTTCCCAAGAGATTTCATTGCTTTTGTGCTCTACCACATAAACATGCATTTCCACATTGCATTTTCTAAAAATGATACATACCCACAGATCTTGTCAGTGAATATGAGCCCTATCAGTATGAATCTAGTGTTTTTCCTTTGAAGGGTTATTGCAAAGCACTTTTGCTCCATTTTTAGATGGATGGTAAACATAATGCTAGTAAGACTTTTGACTGCTCTTGGTCATAGACTGCTCTGGAAGAGAGATTTGCAGAACGAGGGAAATGTCCACTTTGTATTGTTTGAGGCTCAGACATCAGTAGGTTGGCTGGCTTGAAAAAGTGCACATATTAAAGCAGGGGCAAAAAATCTGTTAGAGAAGTATTGTGGCTGACACGAGTCAGTATTGCTGTTCCATTGGCTTGCATGGTGTGGTGCCTGGCTGCAAGAGTGTGAAGTCAACGCTTAGGGTTGGGAAGCATTTGTGTTAGTTTATAAAAATCTCAGCAACAGTTATTCATAACTGTATCTGGTTTAATTCTTTTGTTAAAACTTGCTAATTTAAAAACATTCCTTTAAATAGTAACTGTTAAAACACATTAACAGCAATTTATAGTTAGCTACCTTCATTTGAAATCAATCACTTAAAAAACTTTCATCTTATAATTTTAAGAATTCTTCTTGTTCTTTATTGCACTGCATCAATAAGCAAATAAATGCCAATAACAGTAGCCTTTAATGATTTCAAAAGTTAGATGAAGTTAAAATGAAATACAAGGTATTTATGATGTGTGTTTTGTTTAAAAACTGCTGTCATAACTGTAGTGTCGTAAGAACAATTTTCTGCACACTTCTGGAGGAAGTGGTAAGCTGACCACCCAACTTGAGAGGATGGTGCTTGTCAGCATCTGTGAATGTGTCCCCTGGTTGTCCAGTTCCTGCTCCCACCTCAGGGCATGGGACTGGCCTCAGGATGCCCTCCATCCCTTGCTGACAGCTGCTGGGCTCTGGGAAGAGGGTCAGAGAGCTGAGCAGTGTCAGTCCCTGAGGCCTCCCAGTTGTTCATCTACCTGACCTCCTCCTGCTAGGTGGGAACGGAGGTGTTCTGGAGCTGCTCCCACACTCCTCTGCATGATGAGGAGGTGCTGGGATGTTTACCCTCTATGCCTCTGTCACATCTCCATGCATTATTCATAACGTCTCTAAACCTGTCGGTAGAAAGCATCTTGCTTGCTCAAAATTATCTTTCTAGTGAAAGTATACTAGATATCTGTATGGAAGGGAAATTTGTAATAAAAATATCCATTTTATCTTTGGTTTCTGTTTACTGAAAGTCACTAGGCTCCAAATCCAAGAAGACAGTGTGAGATTGAACAACTAATTTCTATATCGATGTTTAAAATATGTGTCAGCATACTACAAATGAACATGGCTCAGAAGTGGGGTTTACAAAAAAATTAATGTATTTATTTTTTTTCGTTTCACAAGTCATTAGTGCTAAATAAAATAAAAATGGGTTTGTCTTGGTTCACATATTAAGAAAAAAGATGCAAGGGTAGAAACACTGTTGCTCAGTGAATGCTGTGTTCCCTGGATTCACAGAAATAATCCTGCAATAAACACTCTTGTCCTGGAGGGCTTTTCTCTGATAAATACACAGACGTGAATATGCTAAGGAAACCAGCTGTCAGTGGAACTTGTTTTGCTTAAATGGATCAGGCTCCATGCTTTGGGGACTAAAATGGTCGTTTTTTACTGGTCTGGGAGCTGTGCCAGAGGGTTCTTCGTGACTGAGGGTGGTATGCACAGTTTGGTGACTGCATTTAACCTTCTTAGACGGGCAGAGAAGAATAACAAGAACCTGGTCTGAACTCCTAGACTTTGAATGTTTCTGTGTATTTTTCACTGATGGGGAAAAAAAAAAAATAGAAAGTTAAATGTGTATTTGCATTAAGATGTTTCCTGTCTTTTACTTGTCCTTTCTGCTTGGAGTCAGAGGAGGAAAACCATAGAATATTATCTATTTACTGCCAGGTACTGCCTCTTACTACGTTTGAGGTGCACGTTTCACCTTTGAAGCTGAGTGCATGCTGTACAGCTGAGTGCACATCACCAGCTGAAGGCTGCTGTTTCAGAATGATTATGGACACACTCTAAATGAGTAGTCATGTTCAGGCCTTTTTATATACCCATCTTTGTAGAAGACAGAATTAAGAAGGTCTTGTGGTTGGCATATTAAAATGTGCTTATCCATCTGAGTTAATGATTTCAGTAAAATTGTTAGAAGACCACCGAGACAGTTCATGACTTCTTCAAATCCCAGAGCATCTTTGCAGACATGGGAGCAGGAGTGACTGTTGCTTTGCAGGGCTTTCTCTTGCAGTAAGCCTAGTTTGGTCATGCCTCTACCCAATGCCTGGCCAGTGAGTCAGTGATATCTCCTGCCTGCTCTATGTGCTGTGTCCCTGTCATCCGAATCTTCTGAAACTGTAGCCAGCACTGTAACCCAAATCCCAGTATAGTTCTGCTTTGCTGCTCTTCCTGTAT